GACCTCAGATTAATGAACAATGATGTTTGTGTTATTTGATTGATAGGTTGACATAGCTTATGACGAATGATTTTCCTCCCATCATCAACATAGTTTTAACTGATTTAATGGATCTACTTCCTCCATCTTCACGTCATATTTCGAGATCGGAATCCCTCTTTGACCAACTCAGGGTATCAACGTACATACAAGATCTGGGAATAGAGGAGCGGCTTAAAATTGTGTCATTTCAAGAATGTTTTAATTGTAGTGGATTGGAGAGCGGTGGAGTGGTGAGGTCCTACGCTTGTTAGCTGGAATTCTGAGTTCAGTGAAGATGGTCAAAGAGGCATTGCCAATTTACTTTGAGATGTCAAGTATGCCGTAGTACTAGGGATGAACACATTAGTTGGTAGAAAATTTCATGTGAACGAAATTTTGAACCAAGGGTAAAGCCACCTTTAGAGTGTAGTATTAACAGAAATGTTGCGTGTTGGAATGTAGTAAAGGTGTGAGGGGGATGTTAGGAAATAACGCTATTGATGAGCGGGCAGTGCCGATTGGGATGACAAATTGTGCATGTGCTGAGTGGTACTCAGATTTAAGTAGATTGTACATCGGTTTGACCTTACTTTGTGCAGTAACATCACTACAGCATTGATATGGACAATCATATTTGCATTCTGAGTATAGGAATGTCGAGCGGCGAATGTGAATAGGTGGTAATAAATTTGCTTCCCTTTAGCAACGTTCTAAGCTGAATTGACATTAACTTGACCCCAACAGATAAGGCGGGGTGCAAGAGAAGTGCAAGCCCTGGCTCACACTCACTTGATGTAAACTTCTAAGCTTACTTTGAACTCAGTGTGTTTGTGTTTACAATTGCTGCTAATTCTCACGAATGTTGCTGTTGACAGTATTTATTTTATTGATGCCAAAAAAGCTAATAAATGACAATAAGAGCATTAACATTAATAACAAGTAAAAGTAGTGAGAGTAGTGAAGGAGAGGATAAGGGAAGTGATTGAAGTGGTAGAATTGTAACGTAGTTGGTGATGAGTGGAGTGTGGTGAGGGGAGGGGAGTGGAGGAAAGGCGGTAATGAATTGATAGTCAATGGGGTAAGGCAATGAGAATATTCCCTTTTTTGAATCAGAAGTAATAAGTGTTTTCAATTCGACTCATCGTTAATACCATCATGCCATCATTTCGTGCACTTTATTTGAGTTCATGTGGAGAAGAAGAGAAGAACTTGGCATGTGAACTATTTTTTTTAACACAATAAAACAGGTTAATAATGATAATATTAGTCAAATTAGTCGATTGGAGTATTAAATGACGAATTCCTTGCCCTTTGACCTCACCATTATCCTGTGTCGAATAATGTCAAAGGTGTACATTCGCAAAGAATTTCCTCTCGATTTGGCCATGGTATAACCTTCAAGTTATTAATTACCGACCTAAAAGGAACAATTTACCTGGCATCCATTTGTCTGCCAGTGGTCATCTCTTGAGTGTAAATAGACACACGACGGTCGGCTCACAGAAACATGTGCCGTAGTGTTAATCTGATTGGTGAGGTGATAAGGAATCGGAGGTGGATTCATTTCATTATAGAGGTCATGCTCCTCAACAGTTAACTCCCTGTATCCAATATAAAGTCGATTGACCTCTGATGCCTTGAGTCGCATATGCTTAGTCCGTCTGAAGGCATCTGATTTCAGTTTCGTTAATTGAATAGATTGCATATATAAAGCGTAATCCAGGAGCGCCTCTTCTTCACTCTTGCTAGAATCTGAAAGTTAGTTCATGGAATTAGAACATAGGACTTAGAGATTCAGTTAATGAATTGATGACTATCTCAACTCACTGCATTTTGAGATCGAAGTAGGAAGCATAGTCCAGAAGAACTGACCAAAGTGATCCAGCTGGCGCAAATTGGGTGGAATGACGAATCTTGCTATGACCAAGTATTGCGGACAAGAAGAAATCTCATTTGGTTCTAGTTGAAACACAAAACCGGTATTTTCGGTATCATCCACCTCATAAGAGTGCATTATTAACGATTGATGTATCAGTGAACCATCGATAGCTACTAGTGGATCTGCCAAGTAGAGTTGTTCCGCATCATTGACGTAACCGTTACTTTCACTGACTCTCTTGGAAAGGTGTTGTAATATTATTGACAAGTTACCTTCTTAAGCTTAATTCGAAATTTCGATGCGTCATCAGAAAAACTCTGGTCATTTAATTTAGAATACACTGAGAAGGAAAGAAGATCTGATTGTGGACCTTCATGAGCATCACCAAAGAAATTGTAGACGTCACTGCTTGTATTACTCGTCTGTGAACTCATAAAGTTGACTTAGGTTCACTTACCCTAATTAAAAAGTCTGACTGATTACCATTTGAGGGTAACTTGAAGAAGAATGATGTCAAAAAGCCACAGGAATTTTGTTTATCTTCGATATCACTACTATCCACACGACAGAAAGAGACTGTTCCTGCAGTATTAGAGGCAATTTCCAGTGCGGAACCTCCTGAAATAAGAACTTCATGCAGTACCGTAGCTAAGGCTTGATTCAAGTATTCAAAAGTTGCAGCCATTGACTTTGCCTATAGCAAATGTGATTAGAGAAATGTTCACTTACAGATTCTCGTTGATCATCTTTAATACTCTTGGATATTAGAGTGCCTCCAGTTGCTATTTCTGTCAATAAAACAAATCAAGAAAATTATATCTGAAACAGATCGACTTATAATCTCTTCCTTTGCGTCTCATTCATTGCGACTAAGGTTCCCGATAGAATCATTGAACGCTCCAACTCTCTCTCACAAAATTAGGACATTGCATTCGTTGTATACGTGCTATTTTTATACTTAGATTACATTAGAGAAATGGCACACAAGTTATGTGAATGCTAAATGGAGAGAGCATGAACATGAAGAGACCACGCGTGTTCAGAGATATTTGAGCCTCTGGCCACCCATTTGATCTTCTTTGCAGTACTCCATTCTCTCGAATTTCGGTTGGGTTTTCCAGTGCGAAAGGTGGTACTCAGACTGGCTGGTAACTGCATGCAAATATGGTGCCCATGTGTACATAAAGAATTTAGAATTTTAAATCCTCTACATCTCATTTTAATGGGTTAGCAAAGAAATCCATCAGAAGAAGAGCTATCGAGAACTGGATCACTTGAAGCTATTGCCAAATGGAACTTACGATCACTGTCTATATCCGTGTCGTAGTCAAGTGTCTTCAACTCGCGGTCCTTAAGGCTCGGAAGAGGATCTTTATACTGCAGACTCATTCCCTATCCAAGAATAATGAAAATACTGTTAAAAGGCAGTCATGTTAATTCTCTCGAGATGAGCTGAATTTGCGCTTTACCTGCGTGAGAAGTAATTGGAATTGCATCAGTCTTTGACTAATTAGGAATATATCATCACGCGACGAAAGGGATAATATCTGCTTCAAAACTGGAGTCAAATTTTTCAACTTCGCACCCAGTCGATTCACCGTGTAATATGACATATCCTTAGAGGTATTTGCAAGTGCTTCCAAGGCTGAGGTAAGTGGTAAGAGAGATTCATTCTGTGCAAGCGAGATGCCTTCTATGGCCTCAACTAGCTTGTCTGTTAGCTAAAAAGTAAAACATGACTATTTTGATTTAACGCATGTGAGTTTGAAAGTACCAACTTTCAAAATGTTTGAAATCGTGGCAAGCTATTAGAACATTTTTATATTGTAAGGCTGGGGTGTGCGATAGACTTACCTCCACATGGTTCACTCTGGGCAACGTATACTCATACGGCAAAAAAGTCTATTAGCCGGCAGTTGACTTCGGACTTCACACTACCAAGACCCCACCGCATTTCATATTCTACTAATTCCACAGTACTCACCTTTTTTCTACCTTTTTATCTGTTTTTCTGTCTCTGTTACATCTGTGAATCATTATTCTGTCCCCCCCCCCTCTCGACTTTTGCCACTTTGGTGCTCCTAATCCTTTCTGAGAAGCCCGAGAGTTCGAGGTATTTGAGCCAAAGTTTGACTCTGTTCGATGTAGAATCTGGCATGACTAAGCACATGACATTGTATTTCATAATTTAGTCATGAACAATTTAAAAANTGTTTATTTACATTTAGCATTTATAAATAACGCATTTGATCTAGTAAAAAGTAGCAATTTCCTCATATATGAATCTGAATAGTTGTAGTCTTATTTAAAGGGTATGTAAAAAGATACACACAGATTATTTTAAGCAAATTGAGCCATTTTACTTATGCTCGTCACGATTTGACTCAATCCCCAATTGGTATATTTAACGACTTAAATGATGCCAAAGATTTGTCATTCTGATTTTAGTATTTCATACGATATCAAGCCCTCCTTCGCCCGGTCAATATTTTACTGAACTGTGATGCGGTTTCTCAATAGCGACTTGTTAAGTTGACGGCATTAACACTGTAAGTAACGATTGAAATGATAGCGACATATAGATAACAGTTGTAGAGCTGCAAAACTTACAATTCCCACTTTGTTACGTTTGGCGTCAATATCGCTTTGTCCTACTAAAGAGATAACAAAAAATTTCAGTGTGAAAGTGA